TTCTGATGTCATTTTTCTCTTAACTGCAGGTCACTTCATGGGCAACAACACACTGATTGATGTTTTGAGGAAAGAAGGGTACGAGATAGAACACACTCCAGCTGGACAAGCCATCAACAAGTAATGCATGCTTTTATCTAGCTGAGCAGCCATTGGGAGAGTGGGTTTGTAAACAGTCGTGAAAAGGTAGTGGCAGCTGGAACTATACCTAGCAGTGAGCTGGGCTCCCTCCCTCCTCCCCAGCAGTTTGCTTTTCTCTTCCACGAGCCAGTTTGGAAACAGGATTTTATTTGGTTTGGTTACTTGGTGTTTTGTTTGGGAGATTTTTTTCCTGTTATTTTTTGTTTTGTTTTGGGTTTTTTTAAATAAAATAAAAATATTTCCTCCCCTGTAAGTTTTTAACTCTTAGCTAACACCCATAGAGTATGCATACTTGGTTCATCAGATCTGGATGCCGTCTCATACCACATAGGCTTCCAGGCTCCTCCTTCCTCCCCTTGTAAGTGTTTGACTGCCCTGCCTTTTAACACTTACCTTCTCTTACACTGCTATTTTTGATTCTTTCTGATTACTCTCTCTCAGCCTGGAATCTGACTGCCCAGAGTCCACCCAGCCTCTTTGCGAGCTGTCCCCATGACTGATTGCTCTCATGTCCCCTGCTCTCCTATGCATTTTTATGCCAAGGTACTTGCTGTTTTGGTCCATCTTGCAGCTGTACTTAGGGATATACCCTTACTGCCTCTTTTTATCTCTCACTGGGTGCCTTTATCCATCTCCATGGTTTCAGTAACTACAGAATGCCAAACCATCTCTTCCACACTCTGCTGAGAATTACATGTGCTCTTGTCCTGTATCTTCCTGGGCAGAATTCTTGCCACCAGTTTAGGGTCTGCAATCCTTGTCTCCCCCTTCTCCAGACTTTTGCCAAACATGTGCTTCTGGGTCTCTCAGATATCCCCATTCTTCCTAATAGTCATTGCTAAAAGACCATAGTGAATACAAGGTTTGATCCCAGTTGTGGTACTGTTTCCCTTTTACCCTCTGTGCCAGGCATGCTGTCCCACACTGCTTACGTCTCTGTTGCTCCTCCTCCACGTTTCTGATACTGGGCTCTCGGGCAGGACCATCAACTTCTGTGCAGGGGGCACAAGTGCAGAGTCTTGGTCTGTGCCAGGGGCTCCACAGATGTGATGCAAAATAATAACATGGTTTTTGCATACTCTGGTTGCTTCACCTTTCTCTTTGCACCACTTTTGCTGCCTTTTTCAGACCATGAGATTCAAACTCTGGCAGGTTATGTTTTTGTTATGATTCTTGACATAGACATACATCATTAACTCTGCTTGCACTGAAACAAACTAAGCTAAGACTGATCCCCGTGAGTACATGAATGCTACCCCTAACCCTGTTGCCACCCATGGGCAGGTAGTCTGACATGGAGAAGCCCCCTGTGCTTAAGCACAAGACTTAACCTGTAACACTTAAGTCATGCTAGACAATCCAGTGTATCACTGTTTATGGGGATAATAAAAAACCTGCCTGCACTGATATTTTTGTGTTGAGTTTTTTGGGTTTGTTTCCCCCCGCCCCGAACATTCTTACTCAGTTATTCCCCAAAATAGCCATAACAGCTTCTGAAAGCTTAAAGAAAGAGAACTTAATACAAACTTGAGAATAAACAAAATCCAGTACTGCTCTGTAAAGGTGTAGCTGTAAGGAAATCAAGGGCAGACAACTGTGGAAAGGAGGGCTAGATCTTCACCTGTCAGGAAGGTAGGTATCAATGATACTCAATGTAGATAGGCACCCCATTCTCTGACCACATGAAGGGAGTTCATTGTCCAGCCAGTGATTCTTGTGCCTTTGAAAACCCTCAGTTTGGCATTGGTTGCATCTCCAACCTTTCATCCTTTCATTAGGACTACTGGACAGCATATCTTTCCTGGAGTCTTGATTTTAAAGCTGAGTGAAGAAGCTAAATAAGATGACACTTAAGTATTTTCTTTGAGAAAAAGTGTTAACGTTTCTGGATGACTTGGAAACATTTAAAAATATGAAACCAGTTTAAAGAAAAATGTGAATTCTGAAGGAGAAGAGCATTTGAGGTGAGGGAAAGACCTGTGGCAAGAGTATGTCAGAGTCCTGGGGGTTGGATGGACGGTTTCACTTGATTGCTATCCAGGGCTTGTTCTAGAAGCAAATACCAATGCAATCTGTGTCAACAAACCAAGTCCAGCCCACATAAATAACCATACCCCAATACTGTCCTAGACAGCAGTGCTGCACACAGTCCAGTCAGCACCCATGGACTATTTCACAACACAAAATTGAGAGATGAAAAAACTGGCAAGTGGTAGAACTGAGAGCAATCAAATGGCTTTTCTACTCTCAGATACAGTAGGGGATATTAACTGAGCAATCCTAAAACAAGAGGATGATGAAGTCTACAATTGTCTCCCCTGTAATGTGACATTGTGCAGCAGCAGCACAGTCTGCTGCTTCCTGTGCTCTGGCTAAACAGAAAGTCCCTTCTGAGGTATCTTGTAGAGATATCTGTGTGTAGGAACACAGAAGGACATATGATCATTGTGTGTGTTTTCCTGTAACAGGCAAACCGTTGGGTATAGTCACACAACTCCACCTGCAGACAGCACTGCCTCAGGTGTCCTGCCCATCTGTAGGGAGAAGGGGATAAATGTCCTTAGTGGAGTGTGGAGGCAGGAGGGCTCCTTCTTTGAGGTGTCACCAAAGCAAGGAAGGCAAACGAGGTGCTCCAACCATGCAGCAGCTCTAAGGACAGTTTATAAATAGTGCCACAAGTTCAATCAAGCTCCTGCTGTCTTATTTTGGGCTTTAACTGTTGTTCCTGATTTTAGAATGCATATGTATATGTAAAATATTCATCACATAATCACAGCTGTAATTAAGGTGCTTCCTGACTCCTTCCTTAGCTACTTGTGCTGGGAGAGGGAGCTGGCCTTGGGAAGAAGGATGTGCTTTTTCATCTGTATGCCTTGGTATGTGGTTGCTCAGTCGCTGGAAGAATTACCTGCAGGAAGTGTGCAAATGAGGTTATGTGTTTGAGTGTCTGTTGTTAATGGTGTTCTGAGGCTGCAGGTATCAGCATAAATAGCTCACTATGCTGAATGGAGGTCATCCTGGCTGTGCCTGTGGCAATGCTGAGCTCCAGCATGGTATGGCCGTGAGTTTGACAGAAGGCAGACACAGCAGGCAGCAAGGCACTCTAATCTACAAAGGAGGGCTGGTGCCCACTCTGTGCCTTTCACAATTAAGGAACAGACAGTTCCTTAGTGAACGTAAATTGAGGAAAAGGGAACCATAAGCAGTAGGCCTTCAGAGATCAAATCAGGTCAGTGGGGAGAACTTGGAAGGGATTACTGTGAAAGTCGGAGATTGAATGATGTGAAGATGTGGAGGAGAGCTGAAAGGTCATGACGCTTCAGAGGTGATGAAGTGAGAGTGTGACAATCACAACGATTTTGAAAGAGATCAATAGCCCAAGACCCATTCTATTCCAGTCACATAAAGTTCACCACATAAGTCTGTAATTTTTCCTGCAGGAAATAATATCAAATTCTTTTCATTTTCCATCTACTCTCTCCCTCAGGTTCCATTCCACAACTTCATTTCTCCTTCTTCAGAACAGACCCTTTTTATCCTCCATCAAAGAGGTGTGCCCACAACGATAGGCTAGCTTGAAAACTGCAGCCATGCTGAAACGCGTCCCCTTCTGGACCTCCTCCTTTTGATGCCATTGCAAGGCAGAAAGGACACACTATAGTTCTGGGAAGGTTTCACTGATAGAAGCCAGGTTTCTGCACAGTGATCTGTGGTCTTCTGTTACCTTTCTGAATTTCAGCCCAAGCCAGTCTCCAATTTTGTCTTGTTACAGAAGACTGCTGCATCTCTTTATGAAGTAGCCATAAAGATCAGTCAGATACTTGTGTCATGCTTTGTGTATCCACAGAGTGCATTGAGTTTGTGAGTTTGGCCAAGATGCTCATGAACAAGTAAAGAGAGGGAATTGCTTTACTCCAAACAATGAGGAGAAGTGTGGACAAGCAAAGCCATGGTGGATAGGTGACTGCAGACTGCCTGCCTGGGAGTATAGATGAAGAGATGTTGCTTGCTCTAAGTATAATGAAACAGAGCTTGAGTAATCAGGGTGGAGCTATGAAGCTGGGTGAGCATGGCCCTTAGAACTTTTTCTGGTGACTTAACTGAGTGGTCCTTTGGGCTTCCAAGATTTGCCTTGTGAGAGAGTTTGTACATGCACATAGTCTCACAGCAGTATCTCACTTGCTGGAGCTGCTTTGAAATTCCAAATAATGCTGCCAGCCTAACACAGGACAGTGGCAGGACAGTGTTATCTTCTTTTGCAGATCATCACGGAGACAGTAAATGCTTACACTAGAAGGCAATGCCACAATAGTGAATTGAGCTCTGGTCTCTTTATGTGTCAGACATGTCCCCTGCCGTGATGTTTTATAAAGGCTATGCATTCACTGCTCTGTACCATCTGGCTTCATGAAAGAGAAAATGAGATGATGGTGAACCTGGCACTGCCACAGCTAGTCTCCTTCCAGTTGCTGCAGACTAGATGGTGCAAAGGATTGCTTAATTGTATATAGAGCCATTCCCTTCAAAGACGATAATTTGCAAGATGCATTTCTGCACCCATGACCATAGTCTGTGGACTAGGTCATTACTTACCTTCTCCACCAGTGAGAGTTGTTGACCTAGGACTGGCTCTGTCAGCTAGTGGGCCTTAGTTGTCCTGTCCCTGCCCTGTCCCCCTGCCCCCGAAGTTAGTTGGCTCTGGGCAGGAGTTGCTGAAAGGAATAATCTGGTCTGTGTTCTGCAGTATGTCAGACTAGAGGAGTGTGCTTTGACCTTCTCTGACTTTGGGAGTGATTCCTTTTTTGTCTCTTCCTAGATGCACAAGGTTATTCCTAAGAGTTATTCCACCCTAAGCCAGACTACCTTCTTTCCTCAGTTCCAGATTATCTCATTTCCAAAGCTTTTTTCATTAAAGAGAACTAGTTTGGTCAGAATATTGACTTAAGAAAGAGGGGGCAGGAATACAAGGCAGAGAAAAAAGCGTCCAGCCAATATGTCAGGGAGAAACACCTGTTTTATACGTGCCTTGATGGTGTCTGTACCAGGATTCTGCCACAAAGCCCTTTCAAATATTATCTGTGTTCCCTCCTTCTTCCAGCAAAAAACCCCCCAAAACTCTGTTAGCCCTTTCATCATCATCACCAGCACACAGCCCCTATGTCGCGTCCCAGGAGCTCCCACTGCCATTGCACCCCCAGGAGGAGGAAGAGGAAGAGCTCCTGCCTCACCTGCTGCTCCCTGACAGCATCAATGTGCTGGAGAAAGTAGACAAGAAGTACAAAAAGAAGAAGAAGAAGCAGCAGAAGAAGCAAAGACTGCGACAGTTTAACGATCTCTGGGTTCGCCTTGAAGAAAGGTAGCTAACAGCTGGGGAGGGAGGAGGGTTTGTCATGCAAACTGGACTTAAACTGATTAATTCAGTACGCCAAACTTCTGCAGGAGCTAGATACATGCTGAGGGCAGGATCTGATGTTCTCCCTCACCGTGATTCTTGCTGAAACATTTACTCAAGGCTGCTTGTGCTTTTAGTGACAAAATAACTTCTTCCACGTCGTTAGGTTTGTGGAAAATTAGACATAATACAAGTGGAAGCCTTGTCTAGATCATCTTGCGTTTGGGCTTGAGGGATTGTGAGCATATGGTGGTCCTTTTTATCACATAAGGCTGGGTCCAGTGGTAGATGGTACAGATCAAAGCCTTGGACATTTATCCAAGAGCTGCTGCATATGTGGAAACTGTCATATCGGGCATATGTGCTCCTTGCATTTGGACAATATTTATGCAGTACTTCCAGTGTCTCTATTCTTCCAGTCTTAAGAAGCATGTGAGCCCCATGGCATTACTGGAGATCTGGAAAGAGGTATGACAAGCTAGTGGATAATGGGGTTAATGTAAAAAAATGGAGTGTGTTGTGGGGCAAAGGTTCACACATAGCTCCTACTTTTCATCCAGAAGAGCTTACTCACCTACAAGAACTACAGCAGTCTGCAAAAAAAAGCCAACTTCTGCCTCAGTAGCTATACTTAAGCTTGTAGCTGAATGTGTACTTTAATGTTTCCCTCCTGTCAGATAACACACAGACCTGAGTCTGTTCTCTTTTGTACTTTGTGTCTCTGTTTGTATCTCTGCCATACTCAGGTTGAAAGCATTTTATTTCTGTGGTATTGTAAATAACCAGACAGGTCAGGATGATGAAGAAAAGCCTGCAGTTCTTGAAATGAAGCCTCTACATTCTTTTCTTTTTTTTCTTCCTCTGAGTAGTATTTCTTCCTGCTCCCCAAGGTACTGACTATATCAGGGTTCTCCTGTGTTGCTTCTGTCACCTCCCTGGGTCCCAGCTGTACCACTGCTTTGAGTAATACATTGCTCAGGCTGGCTGCAAGCGAGTGCAGCAGGTGTTGTTCTGTTCCATGCATTCAGCCAGTCAGACTTTTTAGACCAGACTCCTTTTCCTGTTTTCTAGAGTATTTTTGTGCTCTCTCTGCTACTCCTTCTAACCTAAGTGTGAGTAGTTTAGAGAGAAAGGGAGACAAATGCATATGGAAATTTGCATGCCCACTGACAGACCTACACACAGTCCAAGATTCCCCAGTAAAACAAACCTTTAATATTGATTGCATTTGATTTTGTCTTTTAATGTACCATTTACTTTCTATTAAGGTAGTTGATACCCACTGTTTGTGAATGGGTTTTTGGAGCTTCTGTTGTCAGTCTGTTTAGTTGAAATGCTAAGGAATGTTTTGAGGTCTTTATGATCTCAAGTGTCCACCTTGCCTGCACACTGATATGTTCAGTTTTTCACACACAGGTGTTCAGATTAAGCTCAGGGAAGTCCATGGATGCCCTGATGTCAGATACACATGCACTTGCAGCATCAGTGCCTTCAGAAGAAGAGGGAGGATATGCTACTGTGACTAAATTGGAGGTGTATTAGGGCAACATACTGGATTGCAAGTACTGCAAGGCAATAGTGATGTAAAAACAAAGCTAATGACAGTTAGGAAACTACTGCATAAATACAGGAGCAGCAAATGCCTCCTTTCCTTTTCTTCTTTTGTAACGTTTCCTTTCTTCCTCTACTAATTAACTCATCCTTTGTGCTAGAAACTTACCCGGGTGCTAGGTGACAAGTTCTTTCTGGGGGCGAGTCCTTAGTAGCAGCGAGCTTGAACGTCTGGAGACCGAGCTGTTTGCGTGACAGTCCTGGGAAAGAGAAGTGATGGTTATTGCTACTGATTGCTGCGCCCGTACTGCAGAGGGAAAGACACGAGCGTCAGAGAGGCAGCTGTCATTCACACACAGCCCCCACGCGTGCTTTGGGTTTAGTCTTTGTAAAGCAGGGGGACTCACTACCCTCCCTGACCGGCACCCGCGTGTGCAAGCAGTCCGTGCCGCCGCGGACTCCTGGGCAGGCGTGGGCTGAGCTGACAGCCCCACCTGGTGGCACAGCCGCCATGCGTCCCCACCGAAATCCAGCTCTTCTGCTCACACGTGTGCAAGGCACATGCCACTGGGAGCCTCAGCCCTTGCTATAAGCGTTCCCCGGGGTGCCCAGGCACAGGTAAAGCTGTCAGGTTTCTTATGCGTGGGCCATTCGCAGCTTTCCTCCTGTGAGCCTGAAATGTGAAAGGCACAGCTCAAGTGATTTAATACAGTCTTGTAGTGGGCTTGGCAGAATTACTTTGGTTTGTGCTCATGTATGCATCAGCTGTCAGCTGTGTTTCTTTGATGTGCTGCCAGCTGGCTTATCTCCAGTTACTGTTCAAACTTTCTGTGGGGGCCTTTGGGTATGGAAGGGTAAGTGTTTTTAAAAAGGATACTAATTTCCTTCAATTTCCCAAAGCATTTTTGCTTAATGCAGCTGACCAAAGGAGAGAATGGTGCACAGCAGCTGGGGAGTGGGTGCAGGAGAAATGACTCCAGTTTTCTATTTGGCAGGTAGATTTGCTTTTAATTTTGTCCGAATTTGTCTTCTGCTGCCATACTGCACCATGAGGCCCTGGGGTGTATGTCAGCCTTACAGCTATGGGGTCAAGCATGGCTTTCAATGCATTGCCAAAGAGAACACCACCTGTGACACCTTCTGACTCTTGAACTGCTGTGGTGTAGGAGCTCCCCCAAGTCAGGACAGTTGGTGTTAGCAGCCTGGAGCATACAAATTTCTCTCCTCCATCATGTATTGCCCTAATAGTTCAGCATCGTGCAGGCTCTGACTCAGTTCTTGTTCATCACCACCTCAGAGTCCTTGTTACCACTGGGAGATACTCTGGGATGGTGATCTCTTTTTCCCCAGTAACTGTAGGATGTGTTTCTGTAAGTGGCTTTTCCTCTCCTTAAAGCATGTCATTTAAACCCTTTGTAATTCCTGACCTGTGGAGGGGAACATGCAGTATAGGAACAAGTTTGGTCCAGGCTAAGATGCATGTACAGAAGCACGGCTAGGGAAGATGGATCCAGCTGAAAGCAGGTGCCTCACTCCTGCTGTGCTCAGCAAGTGTCCCCGCAGTGACACTCTTTTGCAACAAAGTTTGTTTTGTGGTTCTTGCATATTTTCTGCTTAGCTGAAAGGCTGGCTGGAGGGCAGTGGGAATATGGTTGTGTTACCCACCTGACTGACCGTGTGGGAGCAATGGGCAGGCTGGCTGGGTAGACCTGAGTACATGGCGGGTGTTTTGGTGCTGTCTCCACCCTCCTCAATCTTTTCCCTGTTCACACTCAAGACTGCTTCACAGTTTGGCTGGGAAACATCCTCGTCCATGTGGGCTTTGTAAAGCTAATGATGACAGTTTAGGAAACTACTGCATAAATATGGAGCAAATGCCTCCTTTCCTTTTTTTCTTTTGTCATGTTTCATAATGTGGGAGCTGCCTACACCTGTGAGGAAGGAATGAGGCAGCGCTCTGCCATTAGGAGACACAGTCCTTTGGTGAGCATGGAACCTTCCCAGAAGCCCAGAAGACTGACAGTGGGTCACAGAGGCTGACCATCTCCTGCTCTGTGGGCATTGGGCAGTTCTGGGCTGGGTCTGGACTGACATTCTTCTCTTGCCTTGCAGTGCTACAGACCCTCCTCCCCGGATCCGCATCATTAACGGCTACATCACGGTTGAACCCCAGCCCCGGGGCCATGGACGGTCTAGTCACGCTTGCGCAGACACCGGCAGCGCTCACCAGTTTCCACATTCTATCTTGCTCCTGCTACTGACTTTGACTTTGCATATGATAAGTCTGCATTGAAATCACAGGGGGAGCCAAGCTGCAGGGCTCTTGCCTTAAAAAGCAAAAAAAGAAACTTAACGTGAAAAAAACCCACAAAAATAGAAGACTGAGTGGGACACCTGCTCTTTTGGGTGTTCTTAAACTGCCTCCTTTTCCTGAATCTGGATCATTAACACTATTAACTTGTTTGACCTGCCCAATACAGGAGAAGATATTTTAATGAGAGTGTTATTTATCCTTCTCTTGCAGAAGAATGATTTCATGTTATCCCATAATGCTTTGGGGAGATTATGATGTCGCTATAACATAGCTGTTTAGCTGTATGAGCCAAACTAAATTACATTTTTTTCACCTTCAGTGCCTTGTAAGAAGATTTACACACCACTAACTTTATTTTTTTCTGTTTAGTAGAACAGAGTATTTTGGTTATATGAGCACAAAGGTTGGTATTTTATGTGTCCACTGGTAATGCTTTTAATTCTTGCTTGCTAGGGCTCCAGATTACATATAAAGGTTTATGACAACACCTTCTACAATAGAATAAAATGGTAAAGAGTTGTGAACAGAATGTTTCTGCCGTCTGTTTGGTGCTGTTGTAAGACGGGTATACCTGAACCTCCAATGGCCAATGTACTGAGCCTGGTACCTTGGAAACACAGCAGTCACCTACCCCAGTGAGACAACAAACCCTCACGTTTCCCTTGCTATGCATGTATACGAGCTTCGCTATGTTTTTCACTGCCTATAAAAAGTACCTCCTTTTCTCATCCTACTGCATGTTGGAGGAGGAATGGTGAACAGTTCCAGTTTTCCTAACAGGCTATTCATCTCTCAGTCTCAAATTTCAGTCCCCCTTCAGAAGGACTGAATCTGAACAAAGCCTCGGTTTGCTGAGGAGAACAGAGAAAGGAGAGGCTAAATATTGCAGTTTGCAGCAGCACTTCGGGGAAGAAAGTATATCTGGGCTGGGGTAGAAGACAACACCATCTCATTGTATATTCCTTTTTATAGAGAGTACTAAAAACCTGAGAGACCCAAATATGTTCTGGCCTCCTTGGCTTTACACAGCAGCCAGGCTAGTGATGTGCTCTCCCCTGTGTCTGTGTCTAGTTGATCTTTCACTGGTGTAAACTGTCCTACACCTGGTGGGTCCGCAGCTATTTTCCTTGGCCTGAATATGACCTGAGGGGAGCAGATCAGATGGGGGATAGCTGAGTTTCAAATAGGCACAGCAGGCCTGACAAACTGAGCACATACTTGTGTTTTTACCAGTGTAACCGAGGAGGCTACCAAAACCGTTGTCAGAATGTCAGTGTGTTCTAATGGCTAAGGTCTGCTCAGGTACCAGCATTCTGTGGGCCACAGAGCATCAGGAAAGCAAGCATTCCCATTATGTGCCTGGAAGACTTCACCGTCCCTTTATCTGTCCCTCTGAAGCATCTGAGGTAGATTTTGTTGCCTTGCAGTTGGGATTCAGTCAGGCTTGTGATGAGTAGCAGACTTGATTGAGAACTCACTGTGAAGGTGCAGGTACTTCTTTCTTCAGTGCAAGAGCTGAAATCTGGTCTCTCCTGAGCTAGGTGCCTCCACGTCCTCTAAGTGCTATAACAAAGCGTTCTTTGTTGTATCTAAATATCCTGGTCTCCCTTTTCCATTCTCTTTCCTTTGTACTTACTAATTATCCTGTGCACTTTGCTGTTCCCCTCCTTGACAAATTGTTTTCATAAGTCATCTCTTCAGTATTCTCTGTGAACAGATCTGTTCTGAGATGATTGGGACTCTTGCCATGGGTTCCTTGTGGTCAAGATTTCTCTTTCTCTGTTGGGAGGCTGACGTTTGCAAAGTTATTGGCAGAAGTGAAAAACCTACCCACTTCAAAATGTACTGGTTTGATAATATAATTCCACACACCCCTGAGATTAAATTGTAATGTTGGAGAATACAGGTTATAAGCATCACTGATGTTCAGCAATGTATTGTGACTTCTTGTGAATATTTGTTGCTTGACTAAGCTTGGCTAATGGACTACTGTGTTATGACATACATGCTTTTTAATTATTATAAAACTTCACATTTATGTATATAGCTAGGAGAACAAGGCAGACAAACATCCTCCTTAGAAAATGGGTTTGCTCATAAATTCCTGTTTCCGGCGATAGTCAGCACTTGCACTTTATTTCTACTTGCTGATGAAATGGACCAGGCATTAGACACCATTTATTTTGAACTTTGTTGACCTTCCAACAGCTACCTCCTGCAATTTCACAGCTTTTCCTTTCTGCTGCTGCTTGCTTTTTATGCATTGAAGCTTTATTTTGCGATATGATATTTGTTTACCAACTAGGATTGCTTGCGAAGCATTGCAGGAGGTATGACTTCACTCAGTGTGCTTTCGTACACAGTAATGTGCTTTTGTACGCAGTAACATGCTTTTATCTGACACAGCTTTTCTGTGAACTGTGAATGCCCCTTAGCAAGCTGGCAATCCAGTGCTGGTTTACTTTCAAACCCTTTCAGATTAGGATGTGAAAAATAAAATTACTGAAAGAAAAAAAAAATCTTGTTCTTCAGATAGGGTCTAAAAATGTTCACATCTCTCAAAAATTATAATTATAGCAATGTGAGAGGGGATGCATAAATTCATTACCTCATTTTAACCTCTGACACACTTTAAAGACCTTGCATGGTTTTGTTATTTTAAAGGTGCAGTAGCATAAAAGAACAGACTAATGCAAAAACCGTTGTTTAGTGATTCACATTTATTTCTTTTCACTTTGAAACTTTGGAAAGAGGGTGTTTTTTCTGGTTTTAACTATTTATGTCACAAAATTATACTTCTAAAAACAGAAGTGGAAGGAAAACTGCAAGAGTTACAGATGGCAGGTAAATAAATAGAAATTAAGAAATCTAAGCATTTTGTTTCTTTTGTTTCTGTGTGCTGCTCTTGTACCCTCTGCAACAAGGCTTCAGGGGTAAATACGGTGCTGTTCAACTGGGGGAGAAAAAGCCAAGCACTGAAAGAGCAGAGCCCTCTCTTCAAACACCAGGGTAGTCTTGTGGCTGGTCTGTTCTCTTCCAGGTACACTTGAAGCTGCAATTACTCCATAAGTAAGATAACAAGCCGGTGTAATTCAGTGAGTTGATATGGCCCCTTTTGATCAGCTGTTTTAAACACTGTGACACAGTGTGTAGAAATCAGGCTGAAATCTCTTACTTAGATAACCAAAGAATGTGCTTTAGAAGGTTTATTTCTCCAGTGACTTGCTGTCTAGAAAATGTGAACAAAGCATGTTATTTACCCTTTATCACAAAAAAATAAAATCTAAGCCATGAAAATTAATAAAGGACAGGTGACCTTGTTATATCCGTGATGAAACTGATTACCATTTTCTACCCTTCTACTCTGCTTCATCCAGACTGCTATCCTGTAACCACCTGAATGCATATGAGGTTTATTCAGGTCAGGTCTCATGCTGGAATTAATCTCCTTTCAGGATCACAGTCCTGTTATGGTGCAGGGTTGTCCTTATCAAGAAGACTGTATGTATCAGTAAATTCTGTAAAGGGTCGCTATCACAATACATTAACACTCCTGCCTGCAAGCAGGCCACAGCTAGACTGAGTGGGTTAAACAGTGTAAAATGAGAAGCACACAGTGTTGCTGGGTGTTTCCGGTGCTTCAGGATACTAACAGCCATCCAGCGTTTATATTCAAGATTGTTCAGAAGATACTTTTGGTGTAGGCAGAGAATCGAGCCTCTTGCCTTTGATCCCCTGAATCTTTCTGAGGTGTGTGTCTTTCCATATGGATAATTCCAGCAGCGTTCATTATACCTTATTCAAGAGCTGGGTTTTCCCATGCTCAAGCAACCAGCTATTTCCTGTTGGTGTCCAGGGAACTGGGCATTGAACAGGTCAGAAAACTTCCACCCTACAAACACTCTGACCGTGACTAAATTACCTCTGATTATACAACTTGTATCTCAAGTCACTTAATCCTTCAGGTCACAAAACCCATGGAGAGTTTATTCTCTCCTACACTGCAAAAAGTGAAAGCTTTGTATTTTAAAATGTCATTTGTATGTGTGTTGATATCATTTGTCTGTAGATGCATAAATAATTGAGTAGTCAGGATGACAAATACTTTGCTGTCACAGATCTCTCTCTGATGCTTGTGACAAATGACTACAGGTCTTTTGTGCATTATCTCTTTTATTTTATTTATTTTAACACCCTTCCTTCAAGTCACTGTAAGTTTATGCAGCTGAAGACAAGAAACAGTATTTGCCTTTGTTTCCTGACAAATGCTACTATTTGTGCATTGTCTCAGTTCTCCCTACTCCTCCTCTCCACACCCCACATCCTGGATCTGAATTAGTCTGTGCAATTTTAGGCAGTACCAGCAGAAGGTCAGGGGACCTGCTTTCTCCTTGTAGACACCCAGTGGGGAACTGCTTCTGGGGTCCCCACAGAACAAGGAGCAGAGCTATTGCCTTTGTGCTGTCAGGTAGCTCTGAGGTTAAAATCGTGGGTAAAATCTGTTTTCAGTTCTCTTTTCTGCTGGAGGAGATTTGAAGCCACAGCTCCTCCAGGTGCAGTCTAGGACCCACTGAGAAGTTAACTGAGGGGAGACAGTTCCTCTCTGTTTAGCATGCATGGAATATATAAATGTTTCTTAAGCAATGGATAAGCATGACTTAAGAGGTTAAGAGCTGATTACCAGCATCTGCCAGGGATAGGTGTGATCAGCTGCTGGAAGGCCGCCTTCCTGCAGCCATTTCTGTACTGTGTATTTGATAGTCATTGGATTTAACCTGTAAACATTCCTGGGACACGTTTGAGGTTATCAAGTGGTGGCAGAGTATCTCAAAAGATGCATGCAACACAGCCCTCTGAATGATTCAGACCTTGCATACTCGCAGTACTTATCATCCAGGGTTAGTGCACATGACAAAATGTACACTGGGGATATCAACCTTGTCCAAGATGGTTTTGCCTACTGTATGTTTTCCCAGTAC